AAAAAGATCCCCCCCCCCCCCCCCCCCCCCCGATTGATCTGGTCTCTAATCCGAGATGGTCTTGAGATCAAGGATCACGGATCAGCGCCTCTGGCCACACTCTGCTCCTGAGACAAGTTCTCGACAACACAGGTGATCCGATGGTATTTTCATAAACGAGGTTGTTTGGGAACATGACCTTCCGGCAATTGCGTCAAGCACATGCCGACGGGTGATCTCAAACACACGGAGATGTACGGTCGAAGGTATGAAGGAATCGTCAGATTTCCTCGGAGGCGACCGACCATATCTCATGGAGCAACGTAAATGTCCGGCGGCGATGCTCAAACGTCTTGACACGATGGGGGGGCACCAGCGAAACTCCCTAATACGACAACGTAGACATCCACTTGAGGCTGCAGTGTTTGTAAATTGGCAAAAACACACTGAGTACTCAGGGCATGCACGTCGGTGCACACCAATAATAATCCACGTGGCCCATCCGTAGGCACGAGGGGGGAATAGGTTTTGGGTTCAATGAATGTGTCCGTAGGACCACCCGAATTACGAATGACGGATAAGACTAGCCTAAGGAGAAAAATGAGCACAGGGGGGCCTCAGAACACGGCGTCCCTTCATCCTCAACCACCCACATCCACCATCGACTTATTACTGCCCCCGGTGATGGTGACGTCATCCGCAGTAACATCTCTATCCTCTATGGTACTTGGGCGGGGTTTGTAGACTGTACTTGTGGCTGTGCGCGAAAAAAAATGAAAATAGATCCGATACTTTTAATTCCCCCCGCCGGCGCACCCCCCCCCCCCCCCCCCCCCCCCCCCCCCCCCCCCCCCCCCCCCCCCCCCCCCCCCCCCCNCGGTGTTGGCCATCGGGGTCGGGTTTTCGTCGCTTGGCAACGACGTTGTAAAATCAGCCAATTCACTTCGTGAACTCGGCAACCTGGTTACCGGGTTATTTTTTCCTGCTTTTTTTTTGGAGGTAACNGGGTTTTCGTCGCTTGGCAACGACGTTGTAAAACCAGCCAGTTCACTTCGTGAACTCGGCAACCTGGTTACCGGGTTATTTTTTCCTGTTTTTTTTTGGAGGTAACTTAAATGGCGGTCGAGTAGATCATGTTGTCGGGGTCGAGAACCCTCACTCCGCGCAAGAGGGATAATCGCACCACGTTGTGTAGGAAATGGTCAAGCACCCTAGAGGCAGTTACACAGTGCTTACAACTGTCTCTTGAAGTGAAAGCACCAGAAAATAAATTAATTCATACGCAGCTGTCATCCGTACGCAAGGAAGCACAAGATGCCGAACACCTTTCGCAAGATGCATCGCACCCTTCATGCGACTCGCCAAATATCTCACGGCGCTTCGCGCTTGGTGATGTGAGAGCCTGNGGGGGGGGGGGGGGGGGGGGGGGGGGGGGGGGGGGGGGGGGGGGGGGGGGGGGGAGCGAGCGGCAGATCTCATTCAACATCTCAATCCCAACCCGGTCACTCAATATTTCGCGCCGGGTTTCACATCTGGGTGTTTGCAGAATTTCGACCTCTCCGACAGAACTTCTGGACTGGCGACATAGCCGCAGATACGTGCTGATTGTACTCCTCTCAATCGACGGGATACGTTGCGACTTCATCCAGGGCGTCCCACCATAGTCATCGCAGGTGTGTATCAGGTTCGTTTGAAAATTGTGGCAAAGCGTTACCTGCAAACGCTTCCCGCTCTCCTACGCTACGTACACAACGAACGATGTTAAGCCATCTACAGTGTATCAGACTTACCATTACTCTTTTGCTAACGCTCTCCGGCGCGATGTCGAGCAACGAACAACACCACGGCGGCGTGAAGCCAGAGGAGTATAATGGCGCGCACCGCATAATGTGATCGTCTGGTCGCAAATAATCCAACCCTTCCCCAACAGTTGCATCTCTCCACCTTACATACTATAGATTTCCCCCGACGTACGCGTACCAGCCCGATGCACATGATGGCGTTCGAACTGTCCTCGTTAGCCTGATACGCCCAAGCCAGATATCGCTGCGGGTGTGAGTTCATCGTAATTTGTCCTCGACTCATATGTGGTGGATAGCGATGATGAAACTGGTTTCGTGAGAGAGGATGGGAAATCAACCATCGTGCAACTGCCTCATCCAGGTCGGCACGGTTGGCCATCACTGCATTTTTTCCGCACAACCTGACCGACGAGCGAGTGTCCCCCCCCACTGATGCCTACCTGCATGTGTCTCTTCGTGCGTAAAAAGAGCGATTTGTATACATGGGAAACGCCGGGATTACAGTATGTAGTATTGCATAGAATGGCACCACGGGTGGGTGTGATCTCGTTGCCCTGGACCCTTACCTGTCGATGACGCGAAAGATGAATTTGTTCAGTAATAAAACAATACTAGTTGTGAACTTTTGAACACTCTTCATTCGATTCGAGTCATCTCTCCGGTTATCGGCCACACTTTGGTCGACTCAGGTGCCCACTGACCGAAGTACTTGCTGGCTTCACAGCCGCTGCTTTAGAGACAGACGTGCTGCTGCTTCTCTCCTACATTCTGAGCTCACGTCGGGCTGTGGATGACATGGATGAAATAGCGGGAAGAATTGCCCCCCTCCCACTGGCGGTCCCCCCATCGGTGTTTGCCATCGGGATTGGGTTTTCGTCGCTTGGCAACGACGTTGTAAAACCAGCCAGTTCACTTCGTGAACTCGGCAACTTGGTTACCGTTTTTATTTTTTCCTCTGGTTTTCCTTTGGCGGTAACCAAAAAGGTGGTCGAGTAGATCATGTTGTGCGGGGTGGAGAACCCTCACTCCGCGCAAGGGGGATGATCGCACCACCCCTAGAGGCAGTTACACAGGGCTTACAACAGTCTCTGGAAGTGAAAACACCAGAAATCGCATATAGGATACCACNCACCCCTAGAGGCAGTTACACAGGGCTTACAACAGTCTCTGGAAGTGAAAGCACCAGAAATCGCATATAGGATACCACGAGGATTGTCATTGGTTTTATTTCAAGTTGAAGAGGAGATATTTTTACGATGTAAGTGACAGTAGAAATAAGTCCTACATATGTTGTTGTACTTCGTATTGGTTTAATATTCATGTAGAGTATAAGACATTAAGTGAAAGTTTTCTTAGGTACATTTGCAATTGTCGGAAGGCAAAATAAATAAATAAATAAATAAATTGAGTCATACGCAGCTGTTATCCGTACGCAAGGAAGTAAGCACAAGATGCCGAACACCCTTCGCAAGATGCACCGCACCGTTCATGCGACTCGCTGAATATCTCACGGCGCTTCGCGCTTGGTGCTGTGAAAGCCTGGTCCGGTGAGAACCCGTCGTGCTCCGTCCCGGCTTTGTAGGGATGCGAGGTCAATGATCTAACGACTACGGCATGCACGACTATGAGTACACCTCTCTCTACTGGCGCGGCGAGGTTCACTTGGGGAACATACAGGTGTTTTCATCTCATTCTATTTCCTCAAATTTGGCGGAGATGATGTTGGCCGTTCCGTTGGTACAACAGAGCAATCCATCCCCAAATTATACACTTGCACGTTGTCCTCCATTGCGACGAATACCGCAGCGCCTGACACATGTACTTCTCAGATACAGTAGTGAAGATTGACTTTCTCTCGCAACAAAATGACATTCGGCCAGGACACCATCCGTAGAAGTCACTCCCACAGGATTACCGAGAGGCACGTGTTGGAAAACTCTAAAACAAGTGGTTCTGACTGTTTTTATATTTGTCCTCAAGAGCATTAGACTGTTGGGCATGCCAGCCTTTTCGGGGAGAGAGTTCGCCCCAAACAGCGCCCACAAGCGAAGGACCAAACTGTGAAGGTTCAGGAGCATGTTGGACATCTCACACAGCAAAGGGACCACGACGCTGTCACACTCAAATGCCGTGTCAACACGTGAGAGAGTGACTCAGTGATGCCCATGGAGCTAGAAAGCACATGGTAAGTTTGTATTCTTACGGACGGACACGTCTACCACATCAGGAAATAGGATTGAAGTCGTACTTCCCATGCTTGGTGAGGCGTCCCCGTGACGCAACGTGCACATGTAGTTTATGTCGCCATCCCATTCATCCATTGACCAGGCCAACGAAGCCCCACGCGCAGGTAGAAAAAGCCTTCTCGAAGCACTTAGAAAGTCCTCCTTGCCTAGGATACTCGTTGGATTTGATTCCCCTACAGCTGTTTCTCCTGCCCGCCCTCCTTACCAATCTATCGCCCCCCACCTTTTGCGTGCGTGTACACGTTATTCCCGGCAGTGCCTGTTACACACCGTCAATATGCTGTGCGGCAGAAA